AAGCCTTTGGCCAGGCCTGCAACGTGCTGGGTACTCCTGCCTTGGGATGCGGTTCTGTGTCCCGGAACGCAGCCCCCAACACCCTGTGCTTCACTCCCCGCTCCCTTCAGAACTGACACATCCACATGTGATCTCACGGAGGTCTCCCTGGCGAGTCTTTTAATACTTGCTCTCCCCAGCTTTTCCTGTCCCTCCTCGCTGCCTTCCCAGCGAGGGAATGCTAAACATGCTACATGCATTTCACCTGCTCATCTTCTTCCTTTTCTCCCCAACTAGAATGTAAGCTCACAAGGGTGGAGAATTTTGTCTTCTTTGTTCACTTTCAAATCCTCAGTATCTTAGAACAGCGCTCGGGTGATATGGATGGATGGACGGCAGATGGGTGGTAGATAGAAGATAGGATGGGTAGAATACTGGGTATGGATGGACACCTGGACAGGTGGAAGAGGGATAGCAGATTGGTGGTTGGATGGAGGGATGAACTGTGGGTGGATGATGGCTGGTTGGGTGGATAAATGATGAACGGACAGATAGGTGCGTGGACACATGCACGGGTAGAGGAAAGATGCTGGGTGGCTGATGGATAGATGATGGATGAGTGAGGGCTACATGGATGGTCTGATGGGTGGGTGACGGATGGATAAATGGATGGATGAACAGATGGATGCTTAATGAGTCATCTTCAACCTAAGGGAACAGCACTGCAGTGCTTATGATAGGAGAGGAATGTAATAAGCTCAGCTTGGGCAGTTTTATGTTGTGGGAACGACACGCTGGACTGTAGCAAGAAGCCAAGGCCATTGGGGGTCGGAAGTCACTGGTTACAGGGGCTGTCTGCGCTGGCATGCTGGGGGTTGTGGGGGGTGCACAGAGAACCCACAGACCTCTCATGTACCCATGAAGTGATAGGAGACAACCTCCAAGGTGCCCTGGACAGTCCAGCCAGAGGGCCTGAGAATGAAGGGGGGGCATGAGCTCTAGTCACACAGGGCACTGCCTCGGCGCACGCAGGTCCTTGGAATTAGCGTGGAGTTTGAGGCAGAGGCCAGGGCAAGCCTGGCTCTCCTAACACTGTGCCCATCCGAGGCTGGGAATCATTTTCAGTGAGATGGGGTGTAACTGACACACATCAGCCGCGGGCTGCGGGGCACCCTCGCCCCCACACCCGATGGCTGTCCAGCCCCCTGCCCTGCTCTCCAGCGGCAAGTGGAGGACGGGGCCTCCGGGCTCAGGGCCCCTGCACACGGGAAAGACAGAGGTGAGCAAGCGCGCGAGCCCCGGCCTCTAATTTTCAGGGAGCAACCGTCCCAATCCTGGGGGCCAAGGCTGCAAGCGTTAAACAAGAATAAAGCTGGCCCACCGTCCCGGAGGCGAGGAGCGCGTCCTGCCCGCGTGCCAGACAACCGCACCGACGCCTCCTCCTCGCGCCCGGCTGGGCACCTCTTCCAGGCCCTCCTCGCCTGCCACATTCTTGGCGGAGCCGTAAACTCCTGGGGGTTTCTGTGGGGCCCGCTGAGCTCGCCCTAACGGGGCTCTGGGAATGCTGTAAGGGGAGGGTGGAATGCAACAGAAACCTCAGCTTTTCCTCGCCAGAAATAGAAGCAGCTTAATGAAAATAGGTCTGACCGCCCGGAGCCGAGGAGGCAAACGCAGGTTAAAGAGCTGCGTGGAGGGTTTTACGGTGTGAACTGGAGAAATGGAAAACATCTGCAGCCTGGAGGGGACCGCGGCTCCGCGTCTGTCCTGACTCCTGGTTCCAGTTTCCCTAGCGGGAGGCTCCCGGGCCCGAGGTGCGCCCCGAGCAAGGCCACGCGCTGCCCCCAGCGCCCTCCCTGCAGCCAGAGTCCCCAGGGCGCACCTCCCGGCCACGGGTGGCCGAGGGGACCGTCAGCTTTTTAAAAATACTCGCTGCAAATCCACTTTTCCTCTTGGTGGAGGCAGCCGCGACGTACAGAGTCAAGGCTTTGGCTGGAAGGACGTGTGGAAATCCACGTTCATAGACAACAAGACCCAGCCAAAGAGCAGAGGTTCTTTGTTACTGTTGAGGTGACGGCTTGTGACACTGTGGGCACACTGAGGGGCGCAGTCACACCTCTTTGGGGTGTGTGGCCTCCCACACCCACCCCAGAGCACCCATAACCCTCCCCCGCAGCCCATGGGCCCCTCCCTTGGGCTCCTTCTCCCCCTGGGGGCCTCAATTCTGCAGTGGATTTCCAGGGCTGGGCCGAGTTTGGTTTTGTCTGTCCCTTTGCTTTTTCTGCATGTGAGTGTCAGCTCAGCCCGCGAAGGGGCCCTGAGGGGCGCGGGAGGCCATGTTACCCGTGGGTGCGGGACAGCTGTGGTCCCCCCAGCCGGTGGGTCAGGGGGTTCCGACACCAGGAAGGAGCTGCGCTCCTCAGGGTGACCCACGTCGAGGCCACTCATGTCGAAGCCCAGATGCCGACCCCAGGCGCCCTCCCTCCTGGTCCCGGCCCTGGGACACTGTGTGCGTGACCCAGTGACGTTTGCCACCGTCTGGCCCAGCCTCCCTGCAGCTGCCGCCATCCTGAGCCCTTTTCTCCACCTGTAAATGGAAGCAGTCAGGGTCACTGAATCCAGCTCAGCAGGAGTTAGAACCAGCAGTTCAGAGGAAGGGAAGGACACATCTTGTTGGGCTCAGGGGGAGCAACCTCGGGGAAGATCTATCACTGCCCAGTTATTTCTAGGAGCAAAGAGGACAGAGCAGTCTTCAGACACCAGTTTTCATGCCCATTCATAGAAAGAAGCCGGAAGTGTAAAGTTGGGGGAGCTCAGAAAGAGTTGTCTCAGACGAGCAGTAAAGTTCCAAATTTGACCACATTTGACCTGGAGCTTCAGGTCATGATTCAGACAGAAGACGGGGCAGGGAGGCCGAGCGGGGACAGGAGGAGGGAGGAAGAGAAGATGGAGGTGTGGGGGTGGGGGGAGAGGGGTGAGGAGGTCCCTGTTCCTCTTTCCTTTGCTACTCTCGGCCTAGGTATGTTATTGGGCAGGATGAGGGGCACCCCAAAACCCCCAAAACTGCTCTCTCTAAATAGGTTCTGCCCTCCACCACATCAAGACAAAGCAAACTCCAGTGCGTAAGCCCTTCCATGGAAAGGAACTTTAATACAACTAGTGTGCAATACAGAAAAGGGGAAGAGTAAAGTTTCCAAATCAAGCACCCAGAGTTACCCGTCCCCTCGTGGGTAACTGCCCAGCCAAACAGGGTTGACACAAACCAGGGCCACTGAGACCCCAAAAGCCTGCCACAAGTCTAAGGCACCTCCTGGCGGGGACCCAGAGGAAAGGGACAGAAGAGGCCCAGCACGTCTGGGACAGAAGGAAGAAAATCAAGATAAAAGCTGCCCAGGGACTCTCACCCACATCTGTGTCAACCAGGCCAGGACCAAGAAGCAAGCGCAGCTTCTTCCCATGTCTCTGCTCCATGCGCCTCCTCCAGATTTCCTTCTGGCTCCCCATACGTCTTCCTTCTCCAGAGACATCTCTAGCTTCCCCTCACCAATGCCCCCCACACCCCCACCCTGGCCACCACAGTCTTTGGGGGCCTCCAGGACAAGCTGCAGGTGCCACCCTTAGACCTGCCCTTGGGTGCTGATGCTGCGCTGTTGGGGAGGTTCTTTGAACCGATGTATTTAGATTTAGATCTTTGGGGGCTGAGAGTCAGGTGTAAGTGGCTTCTTACCTAGCTCTGTGCCTGGCAGCAAGGTGCCTGCATGGAAACTCAGCAACACTGTTCATCCAAGAAGTCGTGGCATCTCCCTTTGGAGAGAGAAGATGCTCTGGGTTTTTCCCAGTTGCATATTCCCTGTTTGTGATCGGCTGACTGGGGGTTCATTTTCCAGTGTGAAAGGCAGGCTTCCCTTTAACTTTAGAGAGCTTGAGAGATGTCTTCGTGTGCCCCTAGACTAGAAATGCTTTTCTGAGTACCTTGAGTGCCTTTAGGTGACATGAAATTGGGGGCAGTGGGAAGGATGCAGGGCCCTCCCCCAGTGCCCTAGAGATCTAGTGTGTGAAGTGCACAGAAGTTCAAGGCAGCCTTTGGAAAGACCCGCGGCCTTAGCCCAGGAGGCCTCTCCAGCCCAGACACCGTACCTGGAAACAGCCAGCTGAGCCCACTTCCCCCTCTGTCTTGTTCCTTTCCTAGCAAAAAAAAAACAAACTTTCAGTGTCGGGGGTCTCCCAGCAGGACCTCTTCTTGTTTCTTTTCTCGTCATCAGAGGTTAGGATCTCTGAAACATTCTCCTATCATTTTCTGTATTCAGAAGCTGCTGGGAAATGATCAAAGGGATTGCATGTTCTTGGTTCCCAGATGACAGGAATCAGGTTTCCTATGAAAATCCTAGGCCTGATTGTGGATCTCGTCCCACGAGCCTACTGCGGAATACAAGTGGGAATTGGGACATCTCATCCAATAAAGTTCAATTGGGGGGAAAAAAAGCAGCGTTTCCCACTGAGGTCCGCTTTTTTCCTAAAAAAAAAAAAACAAAAACAAAAAAAAAAACAAAACAAATCAAAACACAGACTTCATTGACCAAGGCAGATTTCAAAATGTGTTTTCTCTAATACCCCAACATGAAACTTTGACTGAGGTTTTCAGGAAATTGCAGGGATCAAACAATTCACCAAGACTTTGGTTTCCAGGTTTCCCAAAGCCTTAAAACTCCCCTGGAGGCTAATGACTGTTTACTGCCGACCTTCGTCCCTTTTCTTCTGTAACATTTTCCATCCTGAGAAGGGTCCTCCCATTCAGCCGAGGAGCGTGGTGTCTGAGTGGCTCCATGGAATCACTACCAGTGGAAACTATTCTGCAAGAGGGGTTGATAAAGCAGCTGCAAAGCAAACCTCGGCTATTTTTTCCATTCTCCCCAAGCAAAGTTAATTAGCATAGAGAAAATGACTAAGGTGTTGACGTCACCTCTTTCCAGTAGAAACTTACACTCTGTCCCTGTCTGCCTGCAAGCATGCGGAGCTTGACTCAGGAATTTGCTGTCCAAACAGGATGCCCGGGAAGCTGTGCCTCCTCCCACCCCCACCCCGAGGGCCGGACCTCCGCGCCTTATAAACCCCGGGCTCAGGAAAGAGCCCACAGCTTTTTGATCCGGAACCTCAGTTGAGGCTTGACTGCGTGGGTCTCTGGCGCTTTCACTCCAAGAAAGCAATATGCACTTTAGAAACTTCAACTACAGCTTTAGCTCCCTGATTGCCTGTGTGGCAAACAGTGATATCTTCAGCGAAAGTGAAACCAGGGTAAGGCTTCTCATACAATGTGATTTGGGGGGAGAGTTTTCAAAGCATTACATGACTCGGGGCTGTTAACTGAAAGAGTTAGGGGTCTGAGGCTGTCTTGTGGGTGGGGGGGTGAGTGGGTGGGTTTGGGCTTGGAGAGCAACCCAAAATACCGTCAGCCTTAAGAAATCCAGAGATGTTGCCCGGGGAGTGAAAGGTAAAGGACTCTGAAGCTCTGGGTGTTTGGAAACCTCCAGGGTCCTCCCCAGACCCGCAAGGCAGCTTGCATGAGGTCTGTCTCTCCTCCTGTTCAGGTTGTAAGTAAACTTTTTGGCAGCACGTCTTTTCCTGACAGTCGCCAGAAGGTTTCGCTCTGACACCAGGAGTTCAGAATCTTCTGTCTTTATCTTAGCCAGTGGATGCTATAAAGATATTTGTACATTCACAGGCTTGAGTGAATCTCCAGCTCGAGAATGTTTCCAGATCTCTAGCTGGAGAAAATGCTATATTTATTATAGCAAATAATAAAACCAGATAAATAACTAAAGTGTGGGATTAAGTGTACCTCGGGGAGGCAGCGCTCATGGATGGTAATTAATATAATTAGTCATTTTAATTACTGTGCTTTTATTCTTTATTTGATTAAGATGCAAGGTTTTCATCCCTCGCTAGCCAGCTGATTTTCAGCAGCGTTGTATATGAATGACTCCAGAGGGTTCTGTCTGGGGGTGGCGATCGGGTTATATATTAAGCGCGAAGCCATTCCGGGACACGTGACCTTTTTTTTTTTTTTTTCATAAATCAAACCACTCTGTAATCACGTACGATGCTTGTGGGCCAGGACGGCAGTTGTGGAAGTAGAGATCGAGCACTCCCGTGTGTAAAAGGACAACAAAGGCTGTGTTTTCACCACCAGCCTTACGTGGTGGAGTAGCGACGAGGCCAGCTGGGCAGCGGGTGTCAGGAGGAGCGAGCCCAGGAGAGGAGAGGGGGGGTGGCGTCGTAGTAGCACGGGGTCCGGGGCTCGTGTGTGTTCTGGCGCGTCTGGTGCTCAGCCCTGACTTGCATTCTAAAAATAGTCATCAGCGTCACCTCCCCTGAATTCTGAATCATGACTTCAAAACGAAAGGGTTGGCCGCCGGGCCTGCTGATGAGGTCATCCGAGATTCCGGGTTGACGCAGGCCCCCTGCATGCCAGAGCCCGCCTCCACGGGAGGAGGTGCAGAAAGGGTCGTGCAGCAGATGCCACCGGCCTGTGGCATCTGCTCCACGTTGGCCTCCTCCATTTTCACCTCTGCACAAGCCCTCAGGGACAAGCCCTGGGCGCTCACCAATGGAAGGCTGAGAGCATCTGTGAGCTGCCCCCAGGCACCCTTTACAACCCCCCACCAGCCACAGAGCAGCAACCCAGGGCCCCTCTCCCCCAAGTCTGTAGCAGGGACTCTTCCCCCTCTCCTGTGGCGTCCGCTCCCCTCTATGGAAGTGCGTGCTACCCACAGCTCCCCAGGCTCGCAGCCTCTTCTGCTCCCCTCCGTGTGGCGGTCAGCTGCCCAGGCCGGACTCTGGTGGGCCCCCCACTCCTTTCACTGGGTCCCCACAACCTGTCCTAAGGGTTTGGCCTGGGGAAAAGGCTCCGAAAACCTGGGGATTGGAAGCCCGGGCACCTTTCTGAAAGTTTCTGCTGTGCAGCACCACCCTCCCACTCTGGGAGGGATCCCAGCAGCCTCCCTGCTCCCCACACCCCTGCTTCCCCTGGCTGAAGATTGCTTTCCTGACCCCAGACAAGCAATGCTTGAACTCGATCTCGCATCTCAAACTCGGGCATTGCAATCCCATTTTTGCTGGCTCTCGGAGCACGAAAGCAGAGAAGGGCCTTGCAGGGTGTTAATCTTTAAAACCAGTATTATTTTAGAGAGTTAAAAAGTAACAGAGCGAGTGGGAGAACAATCCTGGGCTTTAGCTTTATTTATTTTTTTTTTTAAATTTATTTTTATGCAAGAACCAGGGTACAGGCCAGATGCTCGGGAGGGTGAGAGGATTCACTGGAGACAGAGCGGGGAGCAGAACAGGCAGACTGACGAAATCCACTGCTGAGGGGAGCAGTGGGTGAGACAGGAGAGGTCTGCTTTGCCATGTGGGATTCTCGCCAGCCAGCCAGGATCGAACCCACGCTGCAGAGGCTGCCAACAGCTTCACAGTGTGGCGCTCAACTGCCTGTGCCCCCAGGGAGGCCAACGTAGGCTTTAGTTTTAAATGGCTTCCTTTACATTAAGAAACTTTATTCATTGTCTTCCAAGTCAGTAATTTTTTTTTTCAAATTAGCTGCAATGCTTTTAAGCCCAAAAGAGTTGATGTCCATACAGAGCAGCACCCTTGACTCGACCGCCCTAGACAAGAGGCAGGGCATGGGGGTGGGTGTTGGACACAAGAGCCGTCTTGGTCCAGAGGGGCAACGAGTGACCTCTTGGGAAGATGCCCGAGCCACTTCATAAAGCATGTTCTGTGACTCTGAGAAGTGTATAGGGATTGGCCATTGTTCCATGGACTAAATAAATGTGGTAAATCATACGTTCTTGCATTTTCATGAAATACCCAGTATCAGAATTGAAAGGGGCAGAGTCTCGTGGTGGACAGGCGATTCTCTGCCTTCTCTAAGAAAGGAGCCAGGTGCTCTTGCAATGAACAACTTGCTTCCTCAGTGAGAAATGCAATGATGCTGTGACTCAGGCCTCATTTTAACTCCTCTTATTTTTGTTTTTCAGGCCAAATTTGAGGCCCTCTTTCGGACATATGACAAGGACATCACGTTTCAGTATTTTAAGAGCTTCAAGCGAGTCAGAATAAACTTCAGCAACCCCTTATCTGCAGCGGATGCCAGACTCCAGCTGCATAAGACTGAATTTCTGGGAAAGGAAATGAAATTATATTTTGCTCAGGTGAGTGGGGTCTTTGGTTATATTACATACTCCGCTTAGCTCAAGAAAAGCAAGATTCACAACCTGTTACTCAGGGTCTCACCTCTTTTAAGAACACCCCAGGGAGTATTGGAAAGCGGCCTCAGAACTGGCCCCAGAGCTCTGTGGCAGGTTTGGGGGACCTTTGTGCCAATCACATGAATCTAGACGTCTGAAGTGGTGTGAACCTGTACCCCCAAAACACACGGTTTTGTCAACCAATATTACCACAATAAAAAAAAAAAACCTTAATTATTATTGTTAATTATAAAGAAAACAAGAAATGGGCCTCAACCTTGAGTGAAGAAAAGATGGGAGAAAGATGCCTATCCTGGTTCAGGGACGCTGTCGGGTGGGGTGCTGTGGACATGGCTGCCTGAGTGCAGAGGGGGCCTATGACTTTGCTGGAGGGTGGAGGCTAAGGGCTTGGTCCCCAGAGCAGACCAGGGGGGTTCCTTGTCTCTGAAGCTTGTCAGCCAAGCATTCACTGGCCGCGGCACCTGGAGTCCTCGAGGCCTCTGCACATTGCACAGGCTGCAGGCTGGACTTGAGAGAGACAGTGGGCACCCAGGCTGCCTGTGATGGTGGGGGGCCCACTTTGAAGGCAGTCACAATCTCAGGGCAGGTTCTAACAGCTGGAGTAGGGTCTCTGAGTTCCCCAGCACGGGGATGGGGAACCAGCAGACCCTGCACAGAGGCTGGCGGGAGGACATCAAAATGCCCTTTCTTCAATTCAAGTCCAAGGGCCTGCTCCGTGCGGCCAGCACTTACCCCTGGGATGCACTGCCCCCTGGCGGTGGGCGGGGGCTTTGCCTCGTGAACACAGTCCCTTCCTCTGCATCCTGGGGTGGGGCGCCCGGGGGTGGTGGGGAGTCTAGCTTAAGGATCACTTGGTCCAGCTAAGAGTCACTTAATCCACGACTTTTTCTGCGATTAATGTAATGCATGTTCATCGTGAAGATTTGGGCAGGGGAAAGAAGTTTGAAGTGCAGTCACCCCCTGAACACACACTTTGAACTGCTGGGGTCCAGTTATGCGCGGGTTATTCAGTGCAGGGAGGCCCTCTGCACCCGCAGGCGAGGCCCTCTGCACCCACAGGCGCGGCATCCTGGGGTTCAGCCGCAGACGCAGGTTGCAGAACCCGCACATGAGGGTGTGCTCTGCAAGGGATGCGGGGGCTGGAGGATTTGGGCGTGGGGAGAGGCCCCCGCCAGGATACCAAGGCACGACTGGAGTTAAGTTTTGAGGTGATCAAAAGCTCTACTCTGGGTTTTGACTTCACAGGGGTGGGCACCCCTGAGCTCATGGCCAACTGCACACACACACACAAAAACCCAACTCTGAGGATTTTGAGTTACGCTCCTCCTGGAGCCCCCTAATCTCCAGTATCACGTCTAAGCCAAACGAGGATCACAGGTTATTCTTCCTTTACGACCTGCTGGAAGGTGCATGCTTTTTGCTGTCCTCACGTCTGGCATCTGATGCAGAAGCCCAGGGAAGCACCGAGCTGCTGGGAGCAGGAAGCCGGAGAGTGTGGTGGGTGGAGGGAGTCCTGGGTTCCCGTCCCTGCTGGTCCCTGGAAACAACACATCCTTCAGCTTTGGTGATATGGAGCTAGAAGAAATGGTTTCTTAGAGCCCTTCTTACCTCAGTGAGAGTGGCCTTATTTTTTCTATTTATGCTAAAGCCATCTCCGTTCTTAGTCTGGCTGCCCAGCTCGGTTTAACACGGACGGTCCCTGTACCTGCGAGTCCACAGTCATGGGAGGGGCTCCGAACACGTGGGCGCCTTAACCAGTGTTCACACCTCCCTTTTGCCTCCCCACACAGACCTTTTAGGAGTCATCCCTGAGCCACCCCTGTTCTGGCGTCTAGGCGTGGATTTGTCCTTTCACCCCATCTTCCCGCAGGGTCATTAAGTGCCACTTGCATTTCTTTCTCTCCCCAGACTCTGCACATAGGAAGCTCACACCTGGCTCCCCCCAATCCTGACAAGCAGTTTCTGATCTCTCCTCCCGCCTCTCCGCCGGTTGGTTGGAAGCAAGTGGAAGACGCCACCCCCGTCATAAATTATGATCTTTTATATGCTATCTCCAAGCTCGGGCCAGGTAAGCAGCGCTTGCAGGGGGGGGAGGGGGGTGAAAAGATGTGCAGAGTTAGACCAGAGACCCCCCCCCCACTACCCTCCGTGGTCCTCTGGACCCCGCTGGCCCAGCGTCTCTATCCACATCCTTCCTCGTCACTCTGGCCTGTGTCAGGAGCATCCCGCCTGCCTCTGGCTTTGTGTCTTAGGGGGACGTACAAATTTGGGGTGAGTACAACCCCCCACCACTGAGCACAGCCCCTATGGGTGGTCAGACTCAGCCTCCCTTTCTCATTCCCAAGTGGGGATGACTGTGGGGCTTTGGAAGGGGAAAACGGAACCCCTTCCCCTTCTAGAAACTGCATTTTTAGCCACAGTCACTCCACACATGGCCATGATTCTGGCCTCTATGACATGCAGAGGAGGAACAAAAATCACAGTGAAATAAAGACTCCCTTTGGGTCCCTTGGGGTGCTCCCCCTCTGAACCTCTGGACAGGAAAAGGGGCAGTCCTCTGCAGGACACGGTACTTAGCCTCGGGCTGCTGGTCCACAAAGCGGGTGATACCTGGTGGAGTCAGGAACAGGGGGTGAGGACATGATTTAAAAAGCACTTCAAACGGCACTCGGCCTGCAGGCAGCGCCTGAGATTTAGAAACACCAAAATGGCGGCAGCTGTGTCCCGACAGGACTGGGGTGAGGGGCAGGCACAGCGGGGTGGTGGGGTGAAGAGGTCGAGCCGCCCTCCTGCCCTGTGCCTGGAGGCAGTGGGATAAATGCTGAGACCATCAACTCCCCCTTCTCCACCAGCAACCTGATGTCCCTTTGAGCACTTAAGGTTTTATTTTCTTGGACCATCAGCAGTTTTATGTGGAAAAGATCACATTTCCAAAAACACTGCCCCTGCGGAAGTCCCCTCTGGCAGAAAGCAGGAATCGTGTTACTTCCTGCCAGTCCAGGCATGAAGGTCAAGGTGGAAATGGCCACTTGGAGGAAGGGTTGCCCCGCCCAGCAGCACCTAGTGGGTGCAGTAGCACCCCTGAGGGTTGGGGTCTGCTGGGGTGCAAGAGCAGCAGACGGTGCTGTCCTCCTGGGGACAGACTGCTTGTCAGACTGCTTGGAGGCAAGAAGAACTGCTAAGAAAATTCCTCCCTCTCCAGCACCTGCCAGTCCTTTAGAGACGCTTTTTGGAGTCTTTCTAGAAAGTAGACATGATAGAATCCACTCGCGCTTCATTCACTTAACACTGAGCTTGAACAGTATCTCCTGGGTGGGCGCTTCAGCCAGCAGGTTTTTGCAAAGATTTTGCAAGTATGGTCCTGAGCCCTGAGCTTTCTGGACTGCGTTCCCAGGTGCTCCCGCTCTCTGGTCCCCGGCGACCAGGGCTGAGTTACCCTGCAGTGATTTTCTCTCCGCAGGGGAAAAGTACGAATTGCACGCCGCGACCGACACCACCCCCAGCGTGGTGGTCCACGTGTGCGAGAGCGATCAGGAGAACGAGGAGGAAGATGAGATGGAAAGAATCAAGAGACCCAAACCAAAAATTATCCAGACCCGAAGGCCAGAGTACGCGCCCATCCACTTAAGCTGAAGCGGCACCCGGGCGACGGCACGTTGCAAATCGTACTCATTCACGGGGAGGAATCTTTTACTGTGGAAATAGCTCGTCACAACTTTGGAGGTGGCAGCCACGGCGATCGCGGTGGCAGAAATTCCAGGTCATGTTGCCCAGAAGAGAATGGGGCTCTGCCTCCTGGTTCTGACGCTGTGACCCATGTCCGTGGCCCCTGGCCGAGGCCTGGGCCAGCCACTGAGTCTGGGGCGGTCACACACATGGGCATTGGGGATTGTGTCCAGAAGACTGATCACGATAGTGTTTTGTACTTGTTCTTTTCTGGTAGGTTCTGTGTTTGCTAAGGGCAGGTTGATCCGTGGGCCTGGGGAGAGAACTCTCTGTTTCTGAGCAGCCTTGCGGGGCGAGTCTCCTCTGGCTGGAGAAGGCACCACGCAAAACCGCAAAGTGTCTGGTGCAGAAAAGTTGCGAGAACAACAACAATGCAATGTGGAAACTGTAGTGTGTCATTTCTTTGCCCCTCACATCCCAATGTTTGTGCATGTATATTCCCAATTTCCAGAACTAACCTTGGTCCGTAGATAGCGTCGCGCCATTGCTGTTTGACACCCTTGGTGGAGGTCGGGAAGCATTTGCAGAGTCGGTTACCTTTCTAGATTCTCAGCTCTCTTTGCAGCAGCTCCCACAAGTGATATTCTACCCAGGATACGTTCCCCCCCACCCCCCATCCTATTTGGCACAATGTATGACTTGTGCTTTTGCAAAAGTTGATCTGAAATTCCCACATAGAGTTTCACTTCTAAAATCCAGAGAACAGCCGTTTCACTGCCAGCTTTTCGTGGGTGAGAAACTTCAGGTGTTTGGGGTCAGACATAAGTTTTACATTATTTCTTCTACATGGTGTTTTATATACGTGAATCACAGCCAAACGCCTTCCGGGGGGGAACTGTTGGTTAAGAGAGTTGATTTTTCTTTCTAACCCCACGAAAACATCAAAATAAACTTGTAAATAAAGCTGATCGCATTTACTCATACCTGTTGTACACTTGGGTGGAAAATATGGCAGTGGAAAAATAGTGTAAGATGTATTAACCTACCTGTGAATTGTATGTTGTTTAAAAAACAAACACCGTTCAAATGTTTGACGGGGCTTGAATTCCACGCATGTGAAGTGGAAATACTGTGTGCTGGTGTACGAGGGATGCAGTGCCTTTCCCCATTCGTTTCCGAAGCAGCTGTTACACTAGGTCGACGTCTGTAATTTCCTTCCCCAGTTGTAATGTGTGTGTCTGGTAAATAGTGTAACATTTTGGCCTTACGATACCATAACAGAGTTTGTCGTTCTGAAATGCCTAATGCCGAGTAAACAATGCATGCTTTGGAAATCCGGAAGATGGTTTTCTTTGAGAAGCAAGTGTGTTGGGTTGTTCATATCAAGGAATCGACTGAATGTTCTCAAAACCCTGTTTACAGTACCTGGTTGGGGGCGGGGAGGGGGCGGGAGAGCATCGTGTAGCTGTTCAAGTGTTCTAGTCAAGTGCTTTTAAACCGGAGAGGCTAACCTCAAGATATTTTTTTTAACTGCGTTCTATAATAAATCGACACAATATGCTCTTTACGGGAAAGTTATCTGTTTGTCATTTCATTTCTAATGATCTTTGGGACCTGCAGTCTGAGAAGGATACAGCCTTTGGTTTGACTTTAGAAAGTCCTGATTCATTGCCAGAGTCCACGGAGGGTCAGCCAGGCTCACTGAAAGGCAAAATGTAAAACTGAAATCAGAAGGCTGAGCATGTCCCTTGTGCAGAGAGATGATGCTGTGATGACAACCCCAGGCACCCGCAGCGCCACCGCACAATAATGGTTTTGTTTGTCAGTTGCCGGAGTTGTCTTTCCTGGACAGGGAAGACGCTGTTACTAGGGCTGGTCTCGTGGGGAAAGTTGGCCTGAAGCCTTCCGTTTGACTCTCGGGCAGCTTTACCCCGGGACATAGGCTATAAATGGTGGTGAGCCCCCCGTACCGGCCCACACAGACCTAAGTGACCCAGTTTTATTGGCTGAACTCTAGCAGATGGCACCCAGCTCCATCGAGATTGTCATTCGGCATTTCTCCATGAAATTCACATGCTCCTCTTTATTCCACTTATGAGTCACCCCATTCTGTCATCCCCCGAAACCTTTGCATATATATGTAAATACAGATAGATAGGTATGTCTGTCTCTCTATATAGCCCTTCCAATGCCCCCCAGAACAGAATTCAGATGTAACCTAGACCGAGGACAAGCAGGATCCTGGGCTGGGTTTCCTCTGACCTCACAGCCCAGGGAGAAGTGGCCAAGGGAGCAGAACCACAGAGAAGATGAGCCAGTGCGTGCGTTTTTTCTTCTTTACACATGTTTATTCTTAAATGCACAGCAGGCTCCAAGACACTTCCTTCTAGCTACTGGCAGCAACGGATATTATGGCAGGGAACCCAGATGTTTCAGGAACGGGATTAAAGATCACCTTTGCCTCAGGCAAAAAAAGACAGCTGATTTTTTGCTGGATTTCTAAGTTGCGCCTGAGGCCAGGACCTTCCCCGCAGCTCCTGAGTTTCTCTGCCTTTCTTACCATTTCTGATCTTCCTCGTCCATCTCCTGGGCTGCTTCAGGGGCTTCTTGCCACCGAAGCTATCTGCCTACTCTAAAGCCATAGATGTTTGAGGTTTAAATATGTTGGAAGATCCACATTTCAACCAGGTTGATTAAATCTGACCACTGGGCGGTCACTGGCGGCGTGGCGTGCCGTCATCCATCATCATTTGGAAGCCCTGGGAGCTCACACGAGAGAGAGCTGGATTGGGCAGCGTGCTGGCCCAGGACTGATTTCATAAATCGCCCTGGGTAAACGACAAAATGTGCTATAGTTCACTCAGACTTCCAGGGGTTCCCCTGACACAATGGGGGAAATAGAGGCAGGTGGTCTTACTGCCAGGGAAGCCCCCGAGTCCTAGAGCAGAAAGCACGTCAGTGAACGTTCCCGCTTGAGACCCAGCTTCTGATGGGTCGTCCACGATGGTGTATACGGTTGCCGTGGCTGGCCTCAAGGCAGCAGTGTGTGCTGCTGGCTCCAGGCAGATGGCTACCAAGAGCCCCAATTCTGGGCCTGCCCAGCATGCATGCAGCTCTGTGGCCCCTCTAGTGAGGGGCTCTGTCCAAAGCACAATGACAGACACGAAGCAGGCAGAAGCAGGCAGAGAGCCCTTTGCCATTGATCAAACGTGTTCCTTAGATGCATTTTTATGGCGTGTATTTCTGATCAGATGATCGAGTAACTTAGGGTCATCCAGGAAAAGAAAACCAGTCCCTTGTAATGGGCGATCAATCCAAGTGACAGTTGGTGAAGCATAAGAGTAGCAGTGGTTGGTACTCGAGGAATAAACATTGATTTGCAGTCAGCAAATTAGTTAGGATTTCACACTTCCGGAATGTGTGCGAATCAGTACCCACAGGAGATTTGGGTTCTTAGGGAGCTTTAATTATAGGTGAATGGCACAGAACTCACTACACAAATAATAGGTTTTATCAAATATTTGATTGCAAAGGAGTCAATGGACATGAGCTGACCAAAGATGAACCAGCAGCTGAGCGTGTGCTTCCAGGTTGCGGGCCTGGCAGGCTGTTTGTAAGTGAGAGTCCCTTCGACGACTTTCATCTGAAGGTCAGCAATCCCAGCAGGAGCTTGTAGGGTAAATGAAGGTGCTCAGGCCTTTACGCCACGGGCCTCTGTGGCTCTCCCCTGCGGCCTTGAATGCAGGAGGCGCTTGGGAGCATGGGCTCGAGTGCGCATGCCTGATGGTGAACAGCTGGAGTAAGGTGTGGGCCTGCGTGAGTGGGCCCCCTGAGCCTGGAGGTTGAGGCTATAAGGGCAGCATCACTCAGCAATGAGAATAGCTGTGAGTGGATGGGCAGCGCTGTGAGAGGAAGTCCAGAGAAAAGAGGGTAAGACGATTCGCAGGGGGTCAAGTTGCTGTTCCCCTGCTGGCTTCCCTCCCCACCCCACCACCCCCCATACTGTTAGAAAACCTGCAGGGATGATGTCAAGGGCTCCAAGTTTCTCTTTTAAGCTGCCTGAACTGGCTGTGAACCTACCCAGCCTGGGGTGGTTGCAGAACAGAGCTACATAACATGATGGGGAAGAAGAAGTTAGACTCTAAGAATATATCTTTCTTCCCCCAAATGCTCTGGTCTTCTAATTCTAAATAGGACTTTCGTGAAATGTTTTCAGGCAGACCTCGCTCTTGGCCATCTTTAACGCACATCTAAAATTCTTGCTCCAGTGATTCACCAAGAGCTACATGGCAATCAGGTAGATGGATTTTGTTCTCACATGCCTCATGTTCTTCAGCAGCCCCTCTGCTGCTCGTGAAAGGTCCTTATAATCATGACTATGTTACAAAAGGCAGAAGGAAATTATCTCGAAGTGGTTGAGATGTGGTGCCTGGTATTCGACATTTCTTTTTCTGTTCAAGATTCTGAAAGGGGGGCCTCCCTGGTGGCGCAAGGGTTTATGCATAGCATTATGAAGCTATCCACAGCCTCTGCAGCATGAGTTCGATCCCCAGCCAGACAGGGAGCTGCCCACATGGCACAGCAGACCTCTCCTGACTTGCCCACTGCTCCCCTCAGCAGTGTATTTCAGTCAATCTGCCTGTTCTGCTCTCTGCTCTGTCTCTGGTGAATTCTCTCACCATCCTGCACCTCTGGCATATACCCCAGTTCTTGTATGCATAAATAAATAAATCTTAAAAAAAAAAAGATTCTAAAAGGGATGTGATAGCCATTCTCCACCTCCAAAGTCAAGTGTCTGCTGTGTACCCAGTCCCAGCTCACTCTTTCAAGGTCACCAGAGCCCCCCTCCTAGCTGACATTGATGCCCTGGTCATGTGGAATGTCCAGTGTTTACAATGCAACTTTTCTCTTCCCCATGCACCATTACACACGTTCTCTCTGCCTAGAACGTTCTCCCTCTGCCCATCCCATAGCAGGCTAACTCCAAGAGGCTATGCAGCCCACAAAGCAATCCATGCCTGTCCACTCACCTCAATCACTAGCAGCTACCCTGTGCCACGATTGCAGCACTCAAATATTTTTGAAGTAATGAACTGACTCACTGGAATCTGTCCACGAGGTCTCCATCATTACTGTCTCTTCCCCTGAGAATCATTCCCAGCTTCCCCTGCTGTGCTTTCCATTGTGTGCCATACTTAGCAGGTGTAATATGTATTTTTTAAAGCATAACTTACATTGTTTGTCTTCCCTGTTAGAACGTAAATCAAGTGGCGGTGAGGTTTCTCCTAAATCATGGCTTATAGTAGACATACAGCAAAATTAGATGGGTGGGTGGATGGGTGGGTGGGTGGATGGATGCGTGGGTGGATGGATTGAGATTTCAGAGGCAGAGGAGTGAGAAGTCACTGAGAAAGAACAGAAAAATAATGAGGCACGTTCCCCTCTCTAGTCAGTAGAGCCAGCCGATAGCTCAATGCTTTGATCCAACAAATCGCCAGGCTCGTAGAAGCAGCAAGAATGAAAGAGGGAAAAAAGGAGACATCCCTGAGTTGAGGTTGAAATGAGAAAAGGAAAAAGACTTTGTTTTCACATTTTTCTCTGCACAACAGGGCCACAGCTAGAGGCCATGGGACTGGAGGGCGTGTGAGAAGTTTCCAGCGTGAGGGATGCTGTAGATCTTGATTGAGCAACACAGCAATAGCAGCAGTAGTGACGACACAAACCTTGCAAAACATTTTTCAAGTGGGTAACACTTTACTAGCATTCTTAAAAGACGGTATTATCTAGCCAGGCAAGACAGCATGGAAAATTAGAATGTCAGCGTTCTAATTCAGCTTCTCTAGAAAATTATGGTATATCCATGTCCATTTGTGAACTTCAAAAATCATGTTGGGCTATATTTATTTCCTTAGAGTGTGATGTATGACTATTTCATTTAGTTATTTATTCATACAGAACCAATGCTCATCTGCCGACAGGGACCTGGCCCATGAGCCGCTTGCCCATGCTCTCTGGCACCCACCTGGGGGCAGGGCCTGGAACCCTGAAGAGGTAGGCTGGGGGAGAGGAACCCTCAGGCAGAAGCCCAGCCAGTTTCCTCCCAGCACTGGGGGTCCCGACAAAGGAGAAGACTGGGTATCTCTTGGGGAGAGCTTGGACCAGATGTGCTCCGGTGGCTCCCTCGCCAAGGACAATAGCGCCCCCTGCTGCCCATTGAGAGAACCTAGAGGCGCAGCAGCGGTGGACACGGAAGTGGCTTGGAGATGGGACCTGACGGTGCTCTGGAGGGTGTGAGGAGACACAGAGAGGTGACCTGGGAGGGACCTGTGGGAGAAGGTGATGCGGCTCAGCAGGCGGGTGTCCCGAGTCTGACAAGTAAGGTCTTTGTGCCTGAGAGGACTCAGTGGATTGGCGAGAAGGAAGTCGAGCATTTGAGTAAGAACGGCTGAGGTGGCCCCTAATATTCCCAGGCCTGCCCCCAGGAATAAGCGCTGCCTCACTGCCCGTTGAGCTTAGGCAGGACTTGTGACTGCCTTGAGCAAGCTGTCCCGTGGTTACGTTAGTGT